AGAGAACATTTTCTTAATTTCAATATTGTAAATGATCATGAAAGCCCATTCCTCTAAAGGTGTTAGTTATCTTTGTTGTAACAGTACAACAACAATAACAACAACAATCCAGTAAAATGTCACAAGTGAAATATGAGGAAGGTAAAATATATACATATCTTACCCTTACCTCAAGGAGGTAAAGAGACTATTTCGGATACACCTCGACTCGACGGAAAAGGACTTAAAAATAGTGGATGATGATCCAGTTGAGTCATTGAATATTCAAAAATATATCTTATGACACATCACATACGACTGCTACTTAAATGACTCAATAAAACTGTATGTAGTACTAACAAGTTTGTTGGAAAAATATATCTCAAATGTGTCACACCCTCTATACATAATATCTACACAATTATAATTCATTTGATCATCTCATAGTCTTGAATTTTCAACATAGGTGGGGGTGTCAATAATTCCAATGATGCTTACAGCTCAATCAAGATCCACTGCACTCAGCTCAGAAATCCAACATGTCCTTAAGGTCCGGGCACCGGAGATCATCACCGGCGGCCGGAGGAAATTGATGTCAAAAAGAAGTACATCACAAGTTAAAGCTGTGATCCAAAGTGGGAATAACAAAAAGACTACAAACTTGGTGGAGAAATTGGTTTCTTCTGGCAAAAGTGGGAATCTTGATGTGAGAGCAGTGATCACTTTGAGGAAGAAAATGAAGGAGAAAATCACAGACAAGATTGAAGATCAGTGGGAGTCTTTTATGAATGGGATTGGAAGGGGAATCTTGATTCAGCTCATTAGTGAAGACATTGATCCTGGTTTGTAATTTTTCTTGGATATACAAATCTCTCTGCATAAACTTTACTTGTTGCGTTGGTAGTGTCTTTGGTTTCTGATTCTTTGACTTTATTATTGTATGAGTTGAGTTCTATTTTATCTTTTTCTTTTGATCTAATTTCTCAACTTTATTTCCAACTGTCTAGACTGCTGGTAATAGGTATGGTTTGGTTTGGTTCATTGACTAAAGCAAGTACTATAGCAACCCCCCTCCCCCCTATCTTGCACTCCAAACTAGGAGTACAAAGAAAAAGAACTAAGAGAAAACCTTCAATCTTCTCAAAAAATTATTTTGCTTCTTTGGGGGGGCCGGGGGAGCAACATGAAGGAAACAAATTACCCGCACTTAGATGTTTGCACATGACTAATAGATGCTTATGATTTGTTTGCCATAATAATAAACTCTCACTAACCAAAAGGCCAGGAAAATATAAACTCTCAATAACTATAAGTCCAGGCAATAGTATCTCTCGCCGACCAAGTGGACAGGCAACAGTAAACTCTCACTGACTGTAAGGCCAAGCAAATATAAACTCTCACTAACCATAAGGTCAGGCAATAGTATCTCTCACTGACCAAGTGGCCAGGCAATAACAACATCTCACTGACCAAGTTGCTAGACTACAGAAAATATATGTATACGATGTTGTATATCATGTATATAGTAGAATGTACGGAGGTACGCATGTAACTCTCTATCTTTGTCAACCACCATGGAATAACATAAAGCGGATGGGGGAGCAACATGAAGGAAACAAATTACCCGCACTTACCGCACTATGGTTAATTAATATACACACTGACCTGTTCAGTCACTTAACCATGATAAGTTAATATGGGTTGGTGTAAACACCTGGTGCATGAGATGGAATATATTGTCGTTCATTCTTTTTGCGCCTTTTTCCTTATACTTTTTATTGTTTAGCTTTTCTGGATGCCTTTTAGTTCATTTGTCTTGTTTCCTGTAGTGAAAACTTTAACTGGCAACACAGCACTTAGTGCATAATGAATCCATTTATTGTGACTGATGGAATGGACTATAGGGCATCAATTCCATTCCACTTGACACTTTTACATGAGTAGTATTCTAAGGTTAATGGAGTACTAACACTGTTTTCTGCTCACAGTTACCAAGTCGGGAAAGATTGCGGAATCTTATGTGCGAGGTTGGTTGTCCAAGCCTTCTGACCATCCATATATAGTTGAATATGCTGCCAATTTCAGAGTACCACGCGATTTTGGACGTCCTGGAGCTATCATTATTACCAATTTCCTTGACAAAGAGATACACTTAGTGCAGATTGTTGTTCATAACTTTAATGAAGGCCCTATATTCTTTAGTGCTAATACATGGATTCATTCTCGAAAAGATAATCCAGAGAGTAGAATTATCTTCCAAAATCAGGTAAGCGATACTTTTAAATGATTTTTACTTTTCATTTTGTAAAGCAGATATTGGTGCTTGATCAAGGATGCTCCTGCATTAGCAGGCATATCTACCATCTGAAACACCACCTGGCATCAAGGATCTTCGACGTGAAGACTTGTTGATCATTCGTGGAACTGGGAAAGGCGAGAGGAAGCTACATGAACGAATCTATGATTATGATGTTTATAATGATTTAGGAAATCCCGACAAAAGTGAGGATCTTGCTAGGCCACTGATAGGTGGCAAAGAGAGACCTTATCCTAGGCGTTGTCGGACTGGTAGAAGTCCAACTAAAACAGGTACTGAGAAATCTGTTGAGGAGAAAAATTTTCGTGCCTCAATTCTGTGACATACCTTTTTTCTTGATCTTTGGATGCTGACAGATCCACTAGCAGAGAGTCGAATAGAGAAACCTCATCCAGTTTATGTCCCTAGAGACGAAACTTTTGAAGAAATTAAGCAAAATACTTTTTCTGCTGGAAGGTTGAAAGCTCTGTTACATAACCTGGTACCACTAATTGCTGCCACACTGTCAAGCTCAGACATTCCCTTCACAAACTTCTCCGACATAGATAAACTCTATAACGATGGGTTTGAATTGAACGATGATGAACATTCACAGAAGAATAAATTTCTTTCTGATACTTTGGATAAAGTATTTTCTGTCAGCAAAAGGTTGCTCAAATATGAGATTCCTGCTATAATCAAACGTAAGCACACATATTAAATTACTTTTTCATCAGTATATGTTTTTAGCTGTATCATTTAGCATTATTAAGACTGAAGAATCCTGTTTTATTCACAAGATTGACAATATATGCCATCAGAAACCTGCTATCTCTAATTTCTTTCCGACTGTAGTTTCTGGAGTGATATTTCATAAACTCTGCATCTTTCTGATTTTTGTGACACAGGGGATAGATTTGCTTGGTTGCGAGATAATGAGTTTGCGCGACAAGCTTTAGCAGGGGTTAACCCTGTGAATATTGAACTTTTGAGGGTAATTTTTGTTATTTTTTTGGTACTAAATAAATTGTAAGCTTTCTTTAGATATTCAGTAAGTAAGCTTGCGGTATTCAACAGGAATTTCCAATTGTTAGCAAACTAGATCCAGCTGTTTATGGCCCCCCTGATTCAGCTATTACCAGGGATCTTATAGAACAAGAGCTTAATGGACTGACTGTTGAAGAGGTAATAATTTTCCAGTGTACTTTGTTGCTACTTTGCTCTAACTAGGAAACTGAATTCACCAGACTGGCTATGCACCTGGTAGTAGTTTCTCAAACACAGTGATCATTTGTGGTGGCTCTTTTCATGTTTAAACCAGCTCTAATTTCATCTCAAAATTTTCTGCTCAGGCAATTGAAGACAAGAGATTGTTTATACTTGATTATCATGACATGCTTTTGCCATTTATCGGGAAGATGAACAACTTGCCAGGGAGGAAAGCTTATGCATCAAGAACACTTCTCTTCCACACATCCAGAGGTGTTCTAAAGCCGATTATCGTTGAACTTTCACTGCCTCCAACACCTTCTTCACCTAGGAACAAGCGTATATTCACCCATGGACATGATTCAACCAGTCACTGGATCTGGAATCTAGCCAAAGCACATGTTTGTTCAAATGATGCTGGCATTCATCAGTTGGTGAACCACTGGTAAGCTTAGAGCCCTTCCCTTTTTTTTTTTTTTTTGTAAACATATTTACGTAGCTTTCTTCCAATGTTAGTTCTCATTGTGCTTTCATAATATCTAATAATCTTCTCCTTTGGGCACATCGACATTGACCATGTGTTGAAATAGATTTGAAACTGAAACTGGACGATTGGAAAGACATAGCAGAAAGTTTTTCTCTAGCTTTGACCCTATTAGTCGGGGATCTCACTGTGCATGTAAATTGAATTCTCAGGTTAAGGACTCATGCTTGTATGGAACCGTATATCATTGCAACCCATAGGCATCTTAGCTCTATGCACCCAATTTACAAGCTACTTCACCCACATATGCGCTACACACTGGAAATCAATGCGCTTGCGAGGCAGAGTTTGATAAACGGGGGTGGAGTTATTGAAGCATGTTTTAGCCCCGGAAGATATTCAATGGAAATAAGCTCTGCAGCTTACAAGAGCATGTGGCGGTTTGATATGGAAGCTCTGCCTTCAGATTTAATAAGAAGGTAAATTTCCTAAAGCAAGACATCTCTTAAAACCTTGAACTACTGTTTCATCTGATTATTGCAACTTCTCAACTAATAAACACAATGTTGACTGCTTTTAAGGGGAATGGCCGTGGAGGATCCATCAATGCCTTTGGGGGTGAAACTTGTGATTGAAGACTACCCTTATGCAGCAGACGGCCTTCTCATATGGTCTGCCATAAAAGAATATGTGGAGTCGTATGTTGAGCACTACTATTCCGAGCCTAATTCTGTCACTTCAGATGTTGAGCTCCAAGGGTGGTGGAATGAGATCAAGAGCAAGGGACACCCTGACAAGAAAGATGAGCCTTGGTGGCCAAAGCTTGTTACTAAAGAAGACTTGTCTGGCATACTCACCATAATGATTTGGATTGCCTCAGGCCAACATGCAGCAATAAACTTTGGGCAGTACCCTTTTGGAGGTTATGTACCTAACCGTCCTACCCTTATGCGAAAGCTCATCCCACGTGAAGATGATCCCAGCTATGAGAACTTTATTCTTCACCCTGAGTTCACTTTTCTGGCATCTTTGCCTACTCAACTCCAAGCTACTAAAGTGATGGCTGTTCAAGATACCTTGTCGACTCATTCAGCAGATGAGGAATACTTGCATCAGGTGCACGAACTTCAAAGATTCTCCTTAAATGATCATGAAGTTTTGAAGATTTCTGAAAGATTCTGTGCCAAATTAGAGGAGATAGAACATACCATCAACCAAAGAAACAAGGATAATNCGTTCAAGATACCTTATCGACTCATTCAGCAGACGAGGAATACTTGCATCAGGTGCACGAACTTCAAAGATTCTCCGTAAATGATCATGAAGTTTTGAGGATTTCTGAAAGATTCTGTGCCAAATTAGAGGAGGTAGAACACACCATCAACCAAAGAAACAAGGATAATCGTCTTAAAAACCGAAGTGGTGCTGGCATTCCTCCATATGAACTGCTGCTACCTACTTCTGGTCCGGGTGTTACCTGTCGTGGTATTCCCAACAGCATCTCTATCTGACAGGTTGATGAGCGCACAGCTCACTCACTGTATAATTCATATCTTCCATGTTTATGACTTGCTAGGGATCATCTGGAACTTGGTGGCATACAATTTGTGGTTAATATTCATTCTTTTAACACTTGTAGAAATATTTTGCAGGTCTTGGAGACTAATATAGTGAGGGCTTTTAACTCTTGAGAAGCACCATGTAATTAGAAAATAACTAGTGAATGTGTTCGTGCTTCGCACGATATAATAGGGAATTTAGAATGACCTTATAAATCATGTCTTGATAGAGATAAATTTTTGTTTAATTAGGACTAAGTATGTTTTTTCGCTACTAAAAAACAATTAAAAAGGAAAATAAAATGACAATGAGTCGACAACATAGGAATTGATAAAAAGAAAACATAATTTCTTTTTGGGTTAAGAAATCAATAAAACTCCAGGAATTAGCATTAGTTCATACACATGTTATTCATGGAAAAAAACTCATTATTCAAAAATCAATTGAAGAACTAAATGGACAATATGAAAGTATTCACAAAATTTAATTAAATTCCATGCATATATCATATACAAAAATTTCATAGTCAACAACTAAACTCAATATGGGAGAAAGATCCTAAGTTTCCATGAGTATCAATGATAATTTCTTGAAAACTCTACTAATAAAAGATCCTAAGTTTCCATGAGTATCAATGATAATTTCTTGAAAACTCTACTAATAATTTCAAATGGCTACTATTGTCATCAAGAAAAGTAAAATGCTAGATCTGAAGGAACCTGAGAAGACCAATGCACTTCCCTGGATGAGTCTGTTTTTCTTTCCCAAATGATTCTTCTTTTCCTTTTTCCCTCTTCTTTCAATTTTATTCCTTACTTCTTTTTTCACCCCGTAGTTATTATTTCATTACAAAAATATAGATCACATTTTTCACAAAAATCAAAATTATATTATCAATGGACTATTAAAGGAGTATAATTGGTCGAAAAGTGCATGACAAACATAGTTAAATTCTTCATACATTATTTTCCACTTGCATTTATAACAAAAGAGAGAATTTTTTTTCCTTTCCAAATTACAAAAACATTTGACCAAATTCACAGCAAGGAAACATTCAATGGTTTTTTCTTATAAATTATGTATCATTCAGAATTATATTTTTTACAGACAGAAACTATACTACTTGAAGATCAAAGGAAGAAATAAGAGGAGAGAAATCAAAAAGGAGGAGAAAGAAGAAGCAAGTTACTCTAGTGACTCATGCAATTACAATTACCATTTGTCATAATAGACTTAGAAAAATTCACGTGAGAAACAACTTTAATAATATCTGTAAAAAACAAAACAATCCAAATCTAGTAAATTCATACACCAACCAACTTGCGAAAACCAACAAACTTAAAGTCAATAAATACGAACAATTATAAACCAAAGAATTGAAGGGACAAAGAAACTCCATAAACTAACAGAAAAAGCTTCAAACGAAGATCAAAAGCACTATATTTTCAACTATAATCAATGTAAACATGAAACAAAAATAGGAAAGAGAAATAACATTTAATATAATTTTTAGCATTTATAGTTGGAAAAGGTCCCAAATACATATAAAAAAACACAATAGAAAAATAAAAGATATATACTAATTGCAGAAGTTCATGAGTACGGGTAAAGTGAGCAAGTGTTGAAGACATTACTTTTCGAGGAGCAGCTTCATGACCATTTGAGAAGATGTATGTCTTAGTAACATCCGAATCACCATCTTTAGCCTTTTGTTTAAGATGAGGTCACGACTACAATGACCAATAGAAAAACTGCAAGGAAAAAAAATTAAGATAATAATTTAGGATATAAAAGAACATGAAATAAGAAATACAGAATAGCAGTATACATAACCATTTCGGAAGAAACTTTTTAAAAGATCTCTTCCCATTGAAAAGGATCCATAACCACTCCAAAAAGATAGAAAGGCCTTAACGTATAAGAATTTAAAAGGTCATAACACTATGCTGAAGCCTTAACTTACGCTGAAGCATTGTAAAACTTGGGGACACAAAAAGGTGTGAGAAAGAGTAATTTAATGATATCAATTTAAGGGCATCAAGGGTAAAAAGCTTAACGGACAGAAGAAGAGAGTACAATTAAGAGGAAGAAATTGGCTTTTGTCTTTCCAAGAAGATATATGGGGCTAATTTTCTCATTTAACTTTTTGTTGTTTGTGTCTTCCGCAACACATTTACCATTCAGATGGAGTAAAGAACGTGTGGGTAAAAATAAAACACTTATCTGGCATGTAGAATCTCAAACCTCAAGGGCTAAAATATCTTAAAAAGTTTTGGGAGGTTATACCCATTAGACAAATTGTTGTAAAAGAATTTTCATTCCAGAGAACAACCAGAAAGACGGGTAAAGAGCAAGTGATCCTTGATGGAAGCAAGTATTTCACACGTTTAATCAATAGTATTGTTTACCCGAAAAATGGATAGGGTTGAATTTATACATGGTTCTAAGGATACGTGGTATAACTTGGTACAAATCGGAAAAATAAGTAGAAATATATCGAATATTGACTGTAAAAATGAATGAATATAAACCCAAATTAAATAGAGAATGATTTATAAATGAACAAGATGAATCAATGTCAAAAGCCCGAAAAAGGATAATCTTTACTATATGTGTGTAAATCTCAATAATCTTTGAAATGTGAGAGTGTATCAATGTATGGATGTCCCCTTCCAGATATGATAGCCTCTCTTAATATTGGATATAATTAAAAATACATAGTGAGGATCCCATGATAGATTAGTTAATTAGCTTTTCCTTAATTTCCGCCGAGATTCTCTCCCCTAGTGCGGCTACAACGGCTCTTTGTCTTTTGGCTCAATCTTGGTTGGTCTTGGTATTGGTCGGTCTCTGGGTCTCGAGCTCGATAATGACTCGAGCTCAGTATTGATCGGTCTCTGGATCTTGAGCTCGATAACACCACTTCACATCATAGCTCGATATTGACTCGAGCTCGGTATTGATCGGTCTGGATCTTGAACTCGATAACCCGGCTTCACATCTCATCTCGATATTATAATGACGACCTTCGGTCCATCATGTTCCAATCTTGACTAATTACACGAAGGGCAAACTCGGTTTTGACCGTATACAGATAGTCCCCTCGTTTCTCAGAAAGAAATGTGGCAAGAAACAATATGATTTTTCAAATTTTGACTAGATACACACTGACGTCTGCATCGAGCCCGATTATGACGTATGTGACAAATGTCCCGTCGGTCCAGTTATCAAGTTATTAAATGCGCGTTAGACGATGGTCGGTCGCTGCCAATTTTGAACAGTCACTGTGAAATCTATAAATAGCTCCCCTTCTTCATCATTTCAAACATTTACCTTCAAATCTTTTCATTCCGACCTTCATAGTTCTTTGCCTTCTCCACAGTTCTCTATTTCCAGTTTTAGAAATTTCTTTGCTTGTTCTTCACCAAACACCATAATATTCCAATTTCCCATCTTCTTTGTTCTTGAAAATTTAGATGGCCAAGATATCTAAAATCATTCCTCAGAAAGATGTTGCTTCCTCTTCTCGGTCGGTCGGTGAGAAACTGGTGGTGGAGCCACGCCTCGAAGAACTCATTCCCGGGGATGTGTTATTGACTCCGACTTTAAAGTCGAGAAACCCTCATCGGTTAATGGTCGATGTGAGCTGGTATCGAGATATATATGCTCGATACCCCAAAGCCTTATTGATTTGGTAAAGAAATATTGTGGTTGGGAAAACAAAGAAGTTGTGATATCGGCACCGGAGGAAGCGGTCACTACCCACGTGGAAGGGTACTTGAGTATTTACACTTATCCTTTTATGCTGCGTCCCCTCGATCCGGTCATCATCGACTTCTGCAAGAAGTACCAGGTGACCCTTGACCAAATACACCCTTCTTTCTGGAGGATTAATATTGCCCCATTTCTTTGTGAGCAACATCGACAGGCTTCCTTTCACCCTCGACCACCTCATAAGCTTATATAGCCCTCGTCTTTACTGAGGTGGGATGATAAAGCTTCAACGCCGGGCCACCAAGGCATTCAACTCGAGTATAGATGAAGACAAAGATAGATCTAGATGGGCCGGTTTGTTCGAGTGACCTCGGACCTAATCTCGGTTGAGAGTATGCCATTTCCCGAGAAATAGAATATGAGCCGTAAGTGTGATTTCATTTTCAGTTTTTGTTGTTTTTACTTCTTCATCTTTTCTTATCAGTGTTTTTCTTGACACAACCGTTGCTTGGATGTCGGGTGCGGTTCCCCATCTCGAGAACTGGGTCAGGAGCCTGTTTCGACGTCGACATATGCCGAGCGCGCATGGCGCGATTTGTCAAAGGGCCGGTGTGAGGCTCGTACTCATGGCAAACCTTCTTCTTGGCTCACCAATTTGCTTATTGTTCAAGTATTTTTTCAGGCATAAGTTTTATTTACTTTTCTTTCTTTGTAGGTCACGGAAAAGATGCGGTTATGAGACCCCATCAGGTGATAAAGAAGTTTTACTACCTATCTCAAAACCGGAGAAGGTGATTAAGAGAAAAAGATCCTCGGACTCTGAGGGTCAAAAACCCAAAAAGAGAGTGGCTCGTAAACCCAAGGTGAACACTATCCCTTTGACTATGGAGTCGGTCCTAAGTTTAAGGGATGAAGAAGAAGAAGAAAGTGATTTCGGGCTGTTGGCCCATGCACGGGCTAGCACCGATACTCAGAATACTTCGGTATCAGTGGGAGTTGATACTGCTCCCACCAGGCTTTACGAGGTCGATGAGTTATCCTTAGCCCCAAGTTCCCGAGCCGAGGGGGACCGGGAATATTTTTCCTCGGGGTAAAGAGACCGTCGAAGAAGCTGCAGATGCCAGTGTGCAAACCGAGCTTGAGGCTCCCCAGGACGGAGGCGGCGCTAAAAAAGACATACTCGGGGCGATAGAGACCAGGGATTCCCCCTCTTTCCCTTCGTTTTCCCAATCGATGATACGTGACGCTCAAGCTGTGGAGACTTGTCACGAGGAAGGAGTCCATGAAGGGGAGGATCCTTTTCATGGTTATTTTATCGGGGTAGAAGATGTCACCGGTCCGAGTGACTTGGAGGCTCCGAAGAAGCGCTCGAGCGAGGTGGGAGAGCCTTGCCTATTTAACGAAGCCCAACAGGCCCTAAATCGGGTAAGTTCATACTTTCTTTGCCAATTTTCATACTTGTGTTTTTCTTTCCTTGTATAATTCCTTCTTATTTTTGTAGGCTTCTGTGCTTCATCAAGAGGTGTTTTTCCAATCCAGAGGGGAGCTGAGTCGGTACGAGGCCGAAGTTCGAAGTCTCACTGAGGAGAGAGATGCCTTAAAGCTTCTCTGTGAGCAGAGAGAAGGAGAAGTAAAAGGACTTTGGGCCGAGCTGGAAGCATCTCGGAAAGAACAAGCTGAACTGGTCGAGCAGGTACAAAGAATCTTTGAATTTAATGATATTGACTCGGGAGTGATGGCTAATAATTTGGTCCCACAGGTCGAGCAAAAGTTCTATGTGATTAGGAAGCTTCGTACTGAAGTGGACGTAGTGAAATCGGAGGCCGAGGAATGTAAGAAGAACATGAACTGCCTCGCCTCAGAAAAGGAGACCGCCTGGACTCAGCTGGCTTCGGCTGATGCCCAACTCCGAAGCTTGAAAGAGAAAGCCTTGGTGCAAGCTAAGAAAATCGAGGAGTTCCAGTCTCAGTTAAGCTCAGCAAATTCTGATCGAGAGAAATTGGCCACAGAACTTGCAGCAGCCAAATCGGAGGTCGAGAAAACCATGGCCAATTCTGATGCAATGGTGGTCGTTTATCGATCTGATGCTGAAGCTTCTCAAGTTCGAGTAAAGGAGGTTGCTGAGGCTGCTCAGGCTCGGGCAAACTGAGTTGCCAAGCATACTAAATGCCAGTCTCGAAGGGAGACTCTCAAAGAGATTCATGCTCGTAGCTTCGATCTAACAACCGAGATCGAGAAAGCTAAGGAGCTTGAAGCCGAAGCCAGAGTGTTGGACTTTCCTGATGATGATGATACCGGGAGTGCGAGCGGATCTGAAAGTGAAGGGGGCCTCGAGGGCGAAGATGCTGCTCCCGGAGATGACTAAGCCTTTTAGTATTTTTGTGTTTCTTATAAGACCGTTTTGGTCTTTTGTAAAGAAATTTGATCGGGCTCTGTTGCCCTTGTAAATGATGACATGTATATAAAAACTTTCTTCCTTTTTGCCTTATAGAATTGTCAAGTTGTATTTTAAGGCCGGGGTTCAGATAATTTGATCAAAACCGAACTAGTGTGGCCCTTAGGCCTTTTGATCGAGTAAGTGCTTGCTCGAACACGAAGTAAAAAACAACCCTTAGGATTTGTAGCCGAGTGAGGGTTTGCTCGAACTCGAGTTATGGTAGCCCTTAGGCTTTGTGGTCGAGTGAGTATTTACTCGAACTCGGAGTAAAATAACAGCCCTTAGGCTTTTATGGTCGAGTGAGTGTTTGCTCGAACTCTAATTAAGGTAGCCTTTAGCCTTTGTAGTCGAGTGAGAGTTTGCTCGAACTCAAAGTAAAAAATAGCCCTTAGGCTTTTATGGTCGAGTGAGTGTTTGCTCGAACTCTAATTAATGGCAGCCCTTGGGCTCGATAGATAGTCCCCGAGTGAGAATGGTTGCTCGAACCCGAGTTATGGTAGCCCTTAGGCTTTACAATCGAGTGAGGATTTGCTCAAACTCGAAATAAGAGTAGCCCTTAGGCTTAGTGGTCGAGTGAGGACTTGCTCGAACTCGAAATAAAGTAGCCCTTGGGCTTTGTAGTCGAGTGAGAATGATTTCTCGAACTCAAATTAATGGCAGCCCTTGGGCTCGATATATAGTCCCCGAGTGAGAATGGTTGCTAGAACTCGAGTTAGGGTAGCCCTTAGGCTTTATAGTCGAGTGAGGATTTGCTCGAACTCGAAATAAGAGTAGCCCTTAGTCTTAGTGGTCGAGTGGGGACTTGCTCGAACTCGAAATAAGGTAGCCATTGGGCTTTGTAGTCGAGTGAGAATGATTTCTCGAACTCGAATTAATTGCAGTCCTTGGGATCGATAGATAGTCCCCGAGTGAGAATGGTTGCTCGAACTCGAAGTAAAGTTTCCCTTAGGCTTGATATATTCTTAGAAATCAGATACAATATATTCCTGGAGGGACCTCTTTTCATTCTTGTGTGAAATAATCTTACATGCGAAAATGT